GTCAGCTGATTGTACACTCTTGTCGTTCCCTGTAGCTGCTGGCAGTGTCAGATCTGTTCACGGAAAGGAATCAGTTTGATATGATGTTCTCCACCCTGATGGAGCTGCAGAAGCACCATCCACCCGAGGATGAGATCTTGAATCAGTACCTTGTGCCGGCCATCTGCAAGGCAGCAGCTGTTTTGGGCATGGTGAGAGGAGCTGTGTGTGATGGGACCTGAGATGGTTCAAGATGTGTTTGAGTTATCAATATAGCAGCACGCCACTGCTCCCACTATATAAAACTTTTAAATTTACGTTTATAGGACAAGGTAATAGCCGAGCCCGTGTGTCGCCTTTTGGAGACGACCCTGCGCAGCACTCACCTTCCCAGCCGCATGGGAGCCCTGCACGGGGTGCTGTACGTGTTGGAATGTGACCTTCTGGATGACACAGCTAAACAGCTCATCCCCACAGTCTCCGAGTACCTTCTATCCAACCTCAAGGCTGTTGCTCAGTGAGTATAAATGTCATGCCTGTGCAGACGTTGGCCTTAACTCATCTTCTAATGAGCTTAAGTGATGAAAGAGTCTTGGGAACTAATGTGTCTAATGTCAGTGTGTGTGACCACCCCACCTTCCTCCTCTGTAAGAGGATCTGTGAATTAATTAGTTTTCATCCAGCTTAATACAGCGATGGAACCAAGAGTGCAGTGCAACTGTTGGCCTTTAGATGCTGCTTTTTACATTTCAGATAAATACAGACAGTGGCGGATTAAGAGGAAAACCAGAACTCTTGACCTCCTACTGGGAGGGTATCTGTTTTGCTAAATGCACCAAGTTGCTTGCAGGGTTAAATCCATCTGTAGACCGAAATGAGATTAATACTAAGTGATCACCTTTAAGATAGAAATGCTTCATGGGATAACGTGTGTGTTGTCTTCCAGAATGACAATGGGGCATTCTAGGATCACTGACAGGTTGGAGTATAGAAATGGTATGAATCACACGCTGTAGTATTTGCTGCCAGCAGATCTTCCAACTATGGGATGTTTTGGACCTGCGTTTTAGCTAGACCTCTCACCATTGCGGAAACACTTCTGGAGTTACAGAGATTATTGTTACTGAAGCTGTTCTAGCCCAGTGTCTTATTAACACTTTATGCTGTCATTTACGTTATGTTGGCATTCATCTGTAGCCACTGGAATGTATATTTTTCTGTTTAATTATAATGATTTTTTTCTACTTGCTGTGTGTCGCCCATCTCTATTCTGCAGCTGTGTGAACCTGCATAACCAGCAGCATGTGTTGGTGATGTGTGCAGTGGCTTTCTACATGATGGAGAACTACCCTTTAGATGTGGGAGCTGAATTTATGGCTGGAATAATACAGGTAAAGTAAAATAAATCAAATTATCTGACAGCTGGGCAGTAAATGATGTTTACCCTGCTAACTCAAAGTACAAAGTCTGACTGATGTCTGACTGTGCACATGTGAGCATGGAGGAAATTGTGTGGCACATTGACCTCTGTCGAGAGGATGTCATGTATTCTGCCACCTGCGCGCTCTCTCCAGGCAGCATCCTTGCTTAAACCAGAGTATTTCCTGTAGTGAGAACAAGAAGCAGACCTCCTTCCTGTGTCCTGATCTGATTCTCCTGATGCTGTCCAGAGTTCAGAAGTGAAAATGGCTGCAGGAAGCTCACATATTGCACAATAAAATGAAAGCAAAAACATAAAATATATATATTTAAGTATCTTGAAGAAAAAAAGTATTTTGATTTAGTGCCATATGTCCTTTATCTTTTGCGCTTTCTAATAACGTCTTCTTCCTCATCGTCGTCTTCTAGTTATGTGGCGTGATGGTGTCAGCCAGCGAGGACTCCACTCCCTCCATCATCTATCACTGCGTGCTTCGTGGTCTTGAGCGCCTCCTTCTGTCAGAGCAGTTGTCACGGATGGACGGTGAAGCGCTGGTCAAACTCAGCGTGGATAGAGTCAACATGCCATCTCCACACAGAGCCATGGCTGCTCTGGGCCTCATGCTTACCTGCATGTATACTGGTAAGCAAGGCTTT